CAGCCGCTACAGTAGCAATAAAGTTATCTACAATTTTCTTGTGCACTGGTTTTAGGTGGTGTAAAGGAGAAATTCCATATGACAACTCTATGGAGTTAAATGAAAATTGAAAGCTACGCGTTTATAGGCATATGTTGATTAGCTGGTGAAAAATTTTTGTTTGTTATTGCAGATTTGAGAGTTTGTTATGTACTGGAACTTGGCACTAGAAATGTTTAATTTATGAGTCATCATTTCAAATATACCTGATCGATTTTGCTTATAAGCAAATGGAGTCTGAAATCAAGATCAAGATTTCAATATAACCTCTATTTCCTCAATTCAAGGCTTTATTTGTTGTCGTTTACTAGTCTGCTACACCTGATCTACGAGATCGACTAAGTTTCAAAAGAAAGAATATCAAAATGTTTGGACTTACCTTTGAAAATATCCAAGCAGTAGACGCATCTCTGGACCGCGTAGTGTTTTTTCATGCGATGGTAGCCAGCAAACACTTCGCGTTTGTAGACCTTGCTGCAGAAACCGCAAGGAAAACGACCTACATTTTTATCGATATCAGAGCTACGTTAGCATGAAGAAAGTGTATCACTTACTCACAACTACTTCTTTCTTATTCCTAGGCTGATGCGACATCTTCGACAGCAAACTAGGATAGCCCACTTATTATATCCAAGATTAAACACCGAGTTGGTTTCGACTGTCTTAATCGATTACCTTGTGTAGTTGAGTTTAAAGTTGGATTAAGATTATCACGTGATCTTCGTCATTCATAACCGCTTTTCCTTCCGGGTCGCGGTTATGGCTCTCACGTGATCTGACGTTTAATGTGACTTCATTCCCATTGATTTTTGAAGTGAACGAACAAAAGTGGCATTCTCTAAGATATTAATTGCGCAACAGTAACACACTCAGTTAATGCGTGATCAACCGTGTACCTCCTAAGATACGAATCACGTTCGCTAGCCGTCGGTATGTACGAACAGCTAGGAACGTATTGTCGAATTACGGTAACGGCAACAAATGTGGAAATGATTAGATCACGTGACTGCTGAAAATGAATTTTTTCCGTCGCGACAAATAGTAATTAATTTAAAATAAATTTAAGAATTGGCAAGAGTTTTAATTTAGACCTTCAATTGGCTATTGGAGTGCAGCAAAGCTGTCGCTATATAGGCTTAAAAAGATATTGAACTATGTTCAACTGGGACAGTTTATCTCTGGATTGAAGTCTGCGAAATTAATAGAAATGTCAGAATAGCATGGAACACTTCTGTAAGATTGAAAATGTTAAAATCCTGGATACTGCTCGAAACGGAGTTTCCGTCCAGCGTGTGTTCTCCGTGTTAACATATTCGTGAGAAACGAGGCCTGAAAGCTATTCATGAACTACAGACCACGCAGTGGAGCATAGAGAGGTATATAATCTGAATAACAAAAAGAAGTGGAAGAGAGAAATGAATGCGTAAGACCGCAAACAGGAGTCTGCGATGCCATTTCACGAGTGAAAAATCTATATACCAAATTGCAGTACATTGTTCAAAAACATTCTATCATTGCTCTACCAAAGAGGTATTAGAAGGTTTAAAATACGGTAAATGGCCCACGGAGAAGACCTCTATGGCAACGGTAGAATAACCAAAAGAAATTTGCCAAATAACAAAAAAAGAATCGTGTGCGAGAGAATTTGTAATGGAATCGGAACTTGGAACTTTGGTGCTGCCTACATCGAACAGTATATCGAGGAATGTTGATGATGATATCGGTCTCTAACATATGGAAGAAGAGGTTGATTCACTTGTGAAAAAGAAGTTTCTTATCATCAAGCAGGGATTTCTGCATAATGCAGTACATAATAAAACAATAAAACAACTGATATCAATCATCATAAGCAAAGTTTGGCACGACGTGCAACAAATAAAGAAAGGAAGACCCTTAAGGAGAACCGGTCTGACAATTGAAATGATCACTGGACGGCACTAGCCGAGAGGTTCAAGTCGCCAAAAAGAAATAAAAAACATACCATTAACCTGGAAGGAGTCATAGCAATCGTATTGTTCAAGAAGGACGATTTGAAAAACTATCCCTAAATCTGCTTGCTCTGACAAATTTACAAGCTGCTGCAGTTCATTGACAGCAGCTGATCATCATCCATAAATTGTCAACAAGTCTGGACGAAGAGCGGCCAAAAGAACAGGCAAGACTCTGAAAGAGTTACAACATGACGGTTAACATTTTTACCTTATATCAGCCACTTGAGCGCAATGAAATCCCAACTACTTCTGTGAATAGCTTTAATCGACTACTAGAAGGCATTCGACATGGTCAAGTACAACGCAACGTGGACCGCGCTAGCGAAACAGGGCAGCGACAGCCGTTTTATCAAACCGCTAAACGAAACGAACCCTGGCGGCTTAACAGACATCAGTCTGCTTGATATCCCCGTCCGGATTTCCTTAAAGAAGAACATGAAACAAGGCAGCACCGTTTTCTTGAAATTCTTCACTGCTTGTTTGGAAATGGTGTTCCGGAGGATGAACCAGAAAGGTAGAATGAACATCAATGGCGAACAGCTCAGTCATCTACGGCTCACTGATAACTCGGAGTTGTTAGTAAGAAACGCCAGTCAGGTGCTGTGCGAGATTGGGAGGAACGGTGCAGAAATCGAATGGCGAATCAATCAGTCAAAAACAAAGATACGATGATTGGATGCCCTACCAAAGGCCCGAACAATACTTAACAGAGGAAATCGATAAATACATTTCCTGGGACATGAGCTGAAGCTGGAGAGATTTAACGAAGAGAGAGTTAAGTTGTCGCGTGTTCCATTCTATCAAAGTCGTCGTCCTCGGCAACATCAGGAAAGTAACTCCTTCTATCTCTTCAATTCTATCGCTTGACGTCAGTGTTGTATGGCTGTGAGACGTGGTCACTCACTAAAACAGAAGAGCGGCAGCTATTTGCCGCCGAGAGAATTATGTAAGGAACAATAATGTAAGGAATATATATATATACCTTACAGGGGAACCGGGTCGGCATTTCGCTAGAGACGTCATCCCGAAGACCTCTAAACGTAATGTATAAAACCATGGGCAAAGAAAAACTTTCTCACGTTGATTGAGTTTTTCCACTTCATTTTTTAATTGAATTAAAGAATTTTGAGCAGAGTTAAACGGCTGACGTTAAACAATGAACATCTTTCTTAGGGCATTTGTCGTAGACTCCTTCTTCACACTTATGAAGATTAGCCTCACCCAATGAATTCGCTGATAAGCACCACTTCTTTGTCACTGCGACTGTGTCAGCAAGAAATCAATTATTTACTGCTGTTTAATGGAACGAAATGGCATGCAAAGAAGAACGATGAAAAACTAACGATATTACAATGACTACTCGAAACTGTAGATCTTCTCTATCGAGGAACTCTACTTAAGCATTTAAAGGATTAATACTGTTCATAAAAAGCAAAGTTTATAATCACTTGAAGGCCTCTTATTCTCGATACCATCCTTTCCATGAAATTAATAGTTAAGCATTGAACCCCATTTCCGTGTCATCAGCCAGGTGTGCACTTTACTTTCGGAGAGCAGGCTAGACCTATGACCGTCTAATTGTGTCTCCTGCTCTGTACCAACCGAACATCTCTGATCCACACTAATTAGACATCGATGGTAAATTTATTTATCAGTAATGTAAGCAGCCATGCTCAATCAGCGATTTGTCTGATTCTGTTTGACAAACTGTTCTGCCTTTCATGGTTGTTTAAAACTGTTTTAATTTGTGATAGAAATCGAAGATATATGCAACCATACCGTTATGGTACCCAGTTACTAATCCATCACATAATTCATGGGAATGTAACGAAGTTGACGTCAATTATGTTGTAAACGCAAAATAGATATGTAACTCGAACAGCACTCCAGTAAGAGAGCGGAACTTAACCGATGAATGGTTGCTAAATATCCGAAATGATAGCCCATCAATAGGAAAACGGTAAATTTTCGTTTGAAACACATGTTTCAAGCGGAATAGCAGACTGCTGGAAAATGTATTTCAAATCTGACGTTAAACTATGCAAAAAGGTCTCATCAGTACGCAATCAATATCATCTATCCTATCGATTATTTTCATTGAGTAAAAAAACTTATTATGAAATTTTGCAAATTTTAATTTTGTTTAAACAGTAGCGCAAAACACGATTTACTTATGCACAACGTTAAAGATATTGTGACTAGTCTGGCAACTGACTCATAGCGAGGTTTCGGCCCGAGTCTCAAGGGGTTTCTTCAAGGTAGGTTATTGGTGAGTTTCAGTGAATGTAGTTGGTCGCTTGCAGCAGTCGATGCTTTCGGAGTCAGAAAGCCGTTGCCCTTTATGCAAAAGCTTTGACATGCACCATTCATTCATTCCCGGTGATCTTGCATCAGTTGGCTGGTAACGAAACGCGTTGACTTAAAATAGCTTTAGCACCTCCTTTGGCGCTTAAGCTTCTTGACAATGCATTAAAAACAGCCACAAATGAAGTAAATATTTTGCAATATTTTCGTTTGGAAATTGTAATCATGAAAAAGAAAAAAATGGCATTGATCGGTAGTGTTCATAACCGAGATGTCGTTTAAGATTTTGATTGGTACGTTTCAATATTTAGTGCAGCTGGCGTTATCATTCTTACAAACCTGTTGAATCGAACAGATGATTTTGACAATACTGTATATTTCTATTTCTTACCCTACCGAGTAGCTACTGGCATGATCATTGTCGAATGAGTTATCCAAGTGCTGTAAGTATTTGCTGCTAGCTTCTCCACCCTCTTATTACTGTTTTACTAGATGGAATCATGCAGATTTTGTAATGAGCGTCTCACTGCTACTGATTCGTTTCGAGATTAAAGACGGCGAGCCGCTGATTGGTTTCGGCATTTCTGGTGCCGCGTTTCGTACGTGAATGCCCTCGGCAGGAAAGAAGACTCGTTACGTTTTTAGGCCATGAAATGATGTCGAGCACGGCCCAGGAAGATAATGAAAACAACGAGTCACCATGGGAGATAAAAAAGAGCAGAGGACGGCGACGGTTCGCAAGACTCACTGTCGAAACTGTCTCGAGTTCACCCGCTTCCTCACAGACCGAAACGAAAGGTAAAATTGGATCGATGTATAGCCATACAAACAGAATTGCATTAAAAGCAAAATAAGCTTTGCAATAACTCCGGTTAGCGTATCCTCGTTAGTCGATCGTTTGGTTGTGGTTCATGACCGATCTTCAACGTTACAGTATGACCTCAATGGTGCACACTCTACTGCGCTTTGTCCTCTCTCCTGAAATCTTCTGCTTTGCGACTGCGATGTCAAGGTTGGGTTTTAATGCGTCTTTTGCTTGCATGGGCATTGTTTGGTTTTATTGGTCGTATTTTTATTCGTTCCCTGCGATCCGTTTTCTGAGCGGTCGAATTTAATTCCAGACCTGCTAGAATTTTTTAGGTTAATTTTGTTTATGTTTTAAATTAAAGCTTAATCGTTGTCGGTCCTATATTAGATTTAAAATCGATCCGACAATCGTGTATCACTTAAATTATGTTTAATATCCAGTAATAATTAATAGTTGTTTTGTAATCGTCATCATCAAAGGCTGGAAGAGGTTGAACAACACCCAGATTTATGATGTCTAGCCTGTAGAAATGGTATACCAGACTGAGAGAGAGATTTAATAGTATCAAGCAGTCTATGCCATGATGTAGTGTTAATATTCTGAATAATTAAGACGATCCTCCTGGCAGCAAAGCAGTGTCGTTTGTCAGCGGAAACCCATTTGTCGAAAAGACCGAAGGCATTTTGCACATCTACAAACAGAAGTATGATAACATATCTACCTTGGGTATATGTACTTTTCGCTCTAAGCGAAATTAATTCAGTACGGACGCCGGAACGACGATTTCCAGCAGTCGCATTCTATGCATATTGAACGTTCCCGCATTCATGACCTCGCATAATTTGCTGCAGTTCGTTGCCCCATTCAGGTAATTGATTTTCGTCTTACTCAGCTAATGCCAGTTCCTGTGATGCTGACCGTAATAGCAGTAGTTACTTCGTAGATATAGCAATGCCGTTGTACATTGTTATGTGTACTATTGCTTGAAACCTGCATTCGTTCTCTTTAATTGCTACTTATGAACGTTAACATTTCATTGATTTGGCAACACTGGTTCGCGATCCGCGAGGACCCTTAACAGGTGAGGAGGACAATGTGAAGATCGTCATCACTTCACCAGAGTCAGAGTCAGAAACGAGACCAACCGAAATACTTGTAAATAACCACACCTGTCGAAAACCCCTCAGAAGGACCTATGCCAGGACTAAGGCATCGTAGAGAAATTCGTGGGAACAGACTGAAAATCTGACGCCCACACCCTACGAACAGCAGCCCTCGCTACTGTGTAGCCTACAACGGATTACTATGGAACAGCGAGGCTCCAAAGTAGCCACACATTGAACTTTGATGTCATCCTCAAGAACGCCATGAGGGTAATAACAGGAGCCATGAATAGCACCTACTTCTCTGGTTACTACTCTCGAGCATGCTTCTATCGACGTAATAAGGTGCCAGAATTGCCTAAGCGAGTTCCGCAAAATCCAGGATAAGCGAATCATACCTGCTGACTGCTCACCAAGATCTCATGAATCATTCTACGGCAAGACTCATATCGCGGGAATCTGGTAAACCGCCCACGACCTGATGGTATCATCTTCTGTAAATATCTGACAGAATTCCAGCGTTCTAAACAAACACCTAATCGATGATCCAGCAAAAATGCTACCCGTGTTTCACTTGAACCATAAATAATGGGCAACCTTGAACACGATCTGCAAAATCTACTCTAGGACCACTTGCACAAGTGGTGCTACAAAGAAACCCCAGCTTGTGATTACGGCCACACAGACTAAACAGACGATCACATCGTCAATTCAGTGCAAATCAAGAAAATTTGAAAGAAGGGAATCGACACATTAAGTGCGCTAGTAACCGGCTCCTGGCTGTCCAAATTATATCTCGACTTATAGTCGTTGTTGCCATACGCAAGAAAAAGAAGACTGCTACTTAACCATTTATGCTTTTAGGTGGAGAGGGTAATTGGTTCAGGGGGCTTTTTCAATGGCCATGGTTCTCCACCCAGTGGGAAAGCCAAATGATCTGGATTCCAAGACTCAGCAAGACCAGGTCCTCTAAGTAACCGAGCCACGCGATGTGCTATCTGTTTCTGGGCTGATCCGTCTTCTCGTGGCTTTGTCAATGTAATAAGTCTCTGAGGTTGTATCGATCTGAAAAGGGAGCGGTTAAGAACTGAGAGTATTTCGTTTGGTTCTGAACCGTACCAACCCTCCGGCAGTCCTTTGAAGACACTATATTTCTATTGCTTGTAACCGTGACTTCATCTTTTAGACCATAATCCGTTACTAATGACATGTAGATAAGGACGGATGCGTATGCAAACTTAACGACAGCTTTGCACTGCAACTTAGCTCATTCCTTACCACCACAGACCGGTTTTGCTCCCTTGTAACGGGTAGCCTGGTTCAGATCGACCCGTCTGTTTATTTCTAGATTCTACATGCCATTATTACTGAAAACTACATCGAAATACTTTGTCTAGGCATCATCTCGAACCGAATTCTCACACTTAAGTCATATTCGAAGACGACACAGCAAAAGGTCAATACGAAGGAAACGAAAATCGAGTATTTTCTTTGTGCGTTAAAATGAGAAGTGAGAAATATATAAAACGGTTTATTCATGCAGAATGCAACCATATAAAGTGGTAAATTCGGTGATTGACCACTACCGACATTTTGATTCGCCTTTACGGTCATTCAGGATAGTTCAGGTCGATTTCTACAGTTCATTCTGTGGTACGTTGCTGTTGCGGTTGTCACATTAGCGCATTAGCGCACATCGAACAGAGCAGATATCTCGTTTGAGGCTACAGCTGTGTTGCGAGGAACCCAGCAGCCTACTGAATGAAGCAGTCCGAATCGTAATTCTAACCTTAAGGTCTACTTTACACAAAGATTACCACTATATCCCTAGAACAAATAGTTTGAATTACTAGTGCTCGATCCACTTATTCCTTCACCCCTAATAGATACGATGCTTAAAAACGTCTGTTAAAGAAAACAGAAATGATCACAGCATAAAGTTTACGGATTATGGTGAGCGGACTTGAACTGCTAAACCATCAACAGCGAACATCGTTTCCTTGGTCCTAGAAAGGAACCAGCTTCCGGAAATTTTGACCCTGCTTCCCTTGATGGTTGAATCAAATTCAAACTGGACAAGATGGCGACATTTATCTATACCGTCGCTGAAAGATGAACCCATCCGGCGTGTCAGACAGTCACTGAACATAGTGTTTGTGATTGCCTACCCGGAAAATTTGATGAGAGAGTAATTGCTGTTTGAGATACTACTCAGGAGGGGATCAGTTGGTTAAAACTTTTCACATTTCCATCCAACTTTGTTAGTTACCTCTGCACATGTGACAAACGATCCGTCCAAACCATAAGATGGTAATGCAGGGTTGCATGCTATTCCCTGGTGTCTCTGCAAGACTATACGCACTTTTAGCGCTAA